TCAGTTGTTTACCAAAGTCCACAGGAGAAGGTGAAACGAATCGTTATCATTATCGAAGACACACTAAATTTTCAGCATACAACCAAAGGCAAGTAGAGGCATGACAGGTTTTTCCCAAAAATGTCAGTTGACATTTGACAAAACATTTAGTACCGACAAAACTTCATGTTGATTAGAATTGGCCGGTACTTGATGAAAATCCATATTAAAACTAACTAATACAGTTTATTGTATGATTATCACTACAGTGAAAATCAACTAGTTAGTTTTAGAACTTCATGTATTTATAATTATTCTTAAGAAGTAGGTATTTACTATATTTCTGTGTACCTATAGCGTTTTTCTCTAAATTTATCATTTAGAAACTTTTCCTTGAATTATTACACAAATTACGGGTATTTAACGATCCCTTGACAACTTTCATCACAGTTCCCTACAAAGTTGCCTAAACACTTATCAAAGTTGTGACCCTACAAACCGCCTGATATCACATCAAATCTCCAAAAAATAAACTAATATGCCTAATTTTCCTACAAATACCGCACGAAAAGAATCAACATGAGTCACATTTGTAGTAGGCTTTGGATATGGAAACGCAACAAAAACATTCGTTTGCAGATACGCTTTTCATTTATTTCGGTGACACAAACATAGACGATGAGAAGACATTTTATCATTTGCCGTGTCGGTGTTTTATGTGTTTTCATTTCATTCCAAAATATTTCGCTATTTCTCAGGGAAGGAAATAATTAATTAGTTAGTGTCGATTATTTTTTTTACTTCAACAGTGTGTGAAGTGTTTAGTGAGCATTGTCGTTTTTTATGGATTGTAGATGATTCAGAACTTTCAAGGTATGCATAATTGTACAGAAACTTCAATTCACAGTTTTTTCTATCTTTTTAAGATGCCTTTCTTCTGTAATGCACATAAAAATGAAATTCATACTTATATAATTTTATTTCTATGGTTATGATTACAAAATGCCTTGGAAGTTGTCATCAATGGAAGAACAAATTCTTTAAGCACTGGCCGGATAGCCTTAGTTGCTGAGGCCACTAAATCGAAAAGAAGAAGAAGAAGACATTCTTTAAGTACAAGGTAGTACCTAACTGATGTTTCTTTTTCAGGTATGGTTAGATACTATGAATACTTGGCATGGTTATCGCATGTCAAAAGCTAATACCACGTTAATCGATGTCGAAACTTGAGCTGAGGAAAACCCATTTCAACACTTCGTAATTTTCTTGAGACATGTTTGGGATGAGTCGACCGTTGATGTCTCTGAATCTCTCACGTTACGATTCATTTCCGTGCCACTGTAAAAAGAACATCTACCGTTGAGAAATGTATGGACTAGATGGAAATGATGACAGATAATGGCACAACAGCCATAAAAGTACAGATAATTTCGCACGATCTCGGCTGGGAAACTCGACGTGAAGACGACAATAGAATTGTGAATATTTTCAGCGTGAATATTCTCATCTTTCCTAACGGGAAGACAGGTTATGTGGAATTAATTCACGAAATCGTGAGTTACGGTCGGTTGTTCTTGCCTATCCGAACTAAGTTGTATTACAAACTTCGACGACGGTGTTGAAGTTTCTGATAGGTAACTTGTTGAATAGATACCGTTCGGAAGTTAAATTGTTCGTTCGGTTGGAACACAAACAATTCAGATGGAGTTGAAAAGATTCATATCAAAATAGTTTAGCTAAGATCAAATTCAATACACTAGGTAAGGCCTCTTACAATATCAGAATAAAATGTAGATCAACTTGTCTTGAAAATGGAAGCGGTTGTTTTGGAATGTTTCCACCAGAGAATCCTGCCACATCAACACTTATGTTCAGGCGACTATCTTACTTTGGACAGCAGCATAGGTGACCATTTCAACGAGGATCTAATTTGGGTCAGACAATGATAGTATGTATAAGTTTAAACTTCAACAAAGCCTCTCTGAAATATATGATTTTCTGTGGAGGAGTTAATGTTCCTTGATATTTTCTGTTTGATAATTAAATTTAGAACAACAGAAGGCCTACCCGAAGGTGTGATGAAAGGAACCGGTCAGGGCCGGCTTCAGATTCATTACATGCTCCCTCCTTAAAGACGTTTCGCCCCGAAATGTCATCCTTGGCGTGTGTCGATACCTGCAGAACTCTCCATATTTGCACTGTGAAGTTCGATGGAAGTAACACTCCACAGTCTTTATGCTCGGTCGTGGAAGATGGTTACCACACACCAAAATCTGGATGCCGCTGGATCTGAAGATCGTTTCCAACATGCTTCTCACAATTCTCCAGTCCAGCCTGTCGAGCCCAGAGGCCAATTTCGGGATCGCCAACTCCACGAGATTCTGGTCGAGCATCGTCTCCTTCAGTCTAGTAAGACTCCTCCAGACATCTTCATAGGACGGTTTGTCTCGAGAATGCTTTTTGGTCACCAAGTAGAAGATGTTTCTCTGACCCTTCTTCAACTGTAGCACTCCTCCGACTTCTGGATTCTGTTCTCGTAATGTTTGAAGCTGACCGAATTTCTTGTTGAATACCACAGCGATGTCCTTGGACATTTGGAGATCCTTTGCCACGCAGTGCGCTAGGGCGTAATCAACTGGAACCTTGAAAAGGTCTCGTGGCTCTTCTCGAGTTACCCCATGTACGACCTTCTGTCCGTTCGAGTATAAGGACATGAATTGCTGGAACGTCATTTCATCCTCTGGTGGTCTGAGGGCGCGAACTTGGTCGTGATTTCCAGCATAAGGAGCCAGTCTATTAAAATGGACGACCCTAGGCTTTCCTCGAGGTGGCTTATGGATTCGGTAGACGAGGTCATTAATCTTTTTCATGATTTTGTACGGACCTTCCCACGAGTTCCGCAACTTCGGTGATAAACCACGGCGGCGCTTAGGATTGTATAGCTAAACTAGGTCGCCGATTTCGAATCCTCCAGCATTCGCCTTGATGACATAGGCCTCCTTCATCCCACTTCTGACACCAATTGTAACGAATTAAAGAATTAACTGTCTTAAACAAATTTATTTTAACAATACTTGACTATCAGAACTGATTTATTTACACCACTCAGTAACTAACGCTTAATTTATCTTCACCGTTTGTTAACCGCTCGATTCGCTTTCTTGGTACAGACTACTCTTCGGGTCGAAGAGCGACGTTTTTATATTGTCAACGAACGTTCCGGATCCCTCTGCGGATTTTGGGACCCATCCGGAGTTTTCGCGGTATGCGTCATGCGTTGGCTGACTGGGAACCGGTCAGGGCCGGCTTCAGATTCATTACATTATTCTGCTTAAATAAAAATCCATTTTCTCTTACGTTTTTCTAAATACCTACATTTTGAAACGTTTCGTTTCACCACCGTATATTAAGTTTCACATGTACCATTCAGGAAGAAGGATTACTGTGTCAAAAAGCTATTTTTAGGGTTTGATTTATCTTTCGAATATTATTATTTTTTGGTTCGACGATTACAGCCAAAGAAGTAGATAAGGTCGACTCGTCAATTAACATCTTCTTTTTTCGGACTCTAAGTTTAAATAGTCTTATTTCGTAGAGCCCATATCCGTTTAGAGACTTTTTCTATCAATAATGCTATCAAGCGTTATTAGAAACGGATATTGGGAAAAAATATCATCATTAGAAGCAAACAAGCAGAAATTTCCTCGTCACATAAAAGCTTGATCTTATCCACAACCCCTATCCCAATCCTGGATTTGGCACGCTTCGTTTAACAAGGAATTCCAAAGGAAAAATGTCAAAACTGAGAAAGAGTGTTCCACTTATTCAACGATTATAGGACAAAAAGTTTTCATATAATTCAATATTCATATAAAAATATGTAGTTGTTTGGGAAGTACTTTTTCTTTTGTGTAATTCAATGTTTATATAAAAAAGTAGTTATTTCGAGAGGACTTTTCAGATCTTTTTAAAGAGTTAGTTTTGAAATTATTTGATTTATTTCTATCTTTAAAAATTTCATCATCAATTAAATGTATTTGGAGGGATTAAAAGGGAAGCAGATATATGAAGATCTGCTCAATGTTTTTGGCGATCAATGTTAGTATAAAGGGAAATAAGATATCGAGATCTATTTCAGGCAATTTTTCTTCCATAAAGTGAAGCTTTAGATTTAGAGGAATTGATAGTCAGGCACAATTTCTCTGAAACATCAGCTAATCTTACAAGATCCTCATCAATCTACTTGCAAACAGCTACAGTATATTTTTCATCGAATGTAAGGTACAATTGGGTATCATCCGCATAAAAGTAGCATGTTACGTGTTTCAGAAGCTTACAAAATTGAGAGCGATACATAGTTAGGAGTAGCGGACCCAATATCGAGTCTCGAGGTACACCTCGCAGGGATTTGATTAATCCTGATGATCTTGAATTTGGTTATAACCCATTGGGACGTTTACTGAGATAAGCTGGGACATGTCGTTGTGATGATAGGAAAAAACGTATAACATGGAGGGTAGCTATCATCAAATCATTATTAGACTTGTTACCTTTTAGAAGAGCTGTCGCGCAGATGTGATTTACACGAAATCCCGTTGAATGCTCTGTAAGAACATTGTATATAGAGACGTGCTCGCAAAACTGTTCGATTATTTTTTTCATGAGCTTTTGACAGACTATAGAGATTTATCATGATTGATTTTCTAGAAAATTATAGATTTAACATTACTCGACGATAAAAAATTATGGAAATGAGATGCGAAAAGTTGTAGAAACTTATTTAGAAAATAAATTCGCTCAAGCTAGTTAACTTTTCTCATAAGGATTCCAAGAGACGAAATCACGTGCAGAGAAAACCTTCAATTGTCACCTCATATCTGTGCCATTTATCAGAGGAACCGCATAACGCTTAGTATGCAAAATAGGATAAGTGGACGCGACACCTATAAATGTAAGAACACGAAACACCTTCGTTGTCGCAGCGACAAACAATTAGCGAACACAATCAACCAGTGTGTTACCTTGAAATTTGTTAACATCTACGTAAGGTGTAGCGATCGGGTTAACCTCCGCTTCCATTTCTGACGGTGAAATCAGTGTCACTGGCCCATTATTTTTCTGAAGATAATCTACAACACGTACGATCTCACGATAACACAACCGGTCACGATGTTATTTCTGGAGGTGATCTTCGGAAATTTTCAACAACAGTTCACAGATACTGTCCGTCGCCACCAACAAGTGAATGTCGACTGATTCACGTGCATCGCAGCAGGAATCGCGAGAACTGCTTAGCGCCGCGTCGGATTCAAGAGTGGGCGCCGCGACGCCATATATAATGTGTGATATTTGGAAACTGCGTCACGACAGCAACCCTCTGAACGCCCACGTCGGAATCTGCAAGCATTTATTCTTTGATTCCGATGCTGTCAAAGGATTTCGTTCAGTTGATGGTGGTCGATATAAGAAGATTGGGAGGGTTTCACGGTCAGATATAACATCACACAAAAAATAACGTACAGCAAGAGTCCAAAATAGCGCAGAACTAAACTTCAATTAAGATAGAACCAGAAGCGACTCATGCCGAAGTATGTCCGCAAAACAATAATAATAATAATAATAATATTTATTTTGAGTCGCTAAGAAAATTTACATTTTATGGACCAGTCAGTTAATAAAATACAAACTACACACAATAATACAAACTACAATTAAATATAACAATTTCAAGTTACAAGAAAATACGTTTATCAGTTGCTATTTTAGTAAAATCGTCAATACTATAAAGACAATGCTCAGTCAGTATGTTTTTCAATTTGTACTTAAATATTTTAAACGATAAGTTGCGAAAATGGATGGGTAGGGCATTGAAAAGGTAAGTGTCCACTTTTTGCGTCTTTTGCAACCTCAATTGTGGTTTTATCAGATTGTTCTTTGACCTGGTGTCATGGGCGTGAACATCAGAATGAGCTGAATACTCATTAATATGTTTCCTGACATATAGTAATTTTTCATATACAATGACGGCATATAAAGTCATGATCTTCAGAGCTGGGAATATTACTTTACAGCTCGAGTCCCAATTTGCTTTGACAATTTTTCGTACAGCAGATTTTTGTAAGATAAATACTCTCATTAAATGTGATTGAGCTGAGTTTCCCCAGGCTAATATACCATAGCGAAGAAGAGAATGAAACAGAGAAAAGTAGGTGGTAAGAGCAGCCTCTTGATTGACTACTTCTCGAATTTTTTTTATTGCAAATACACATTTAGCAAGTTTGTTACAGAGAGTACTTATGTGTTCAGACCAGTTTAAGTGACTATCGATTAGAATACCAAGAAATTTGGTGGAAGTATAATTACAGCTGTTGTTTAAGGCTCTCGAATCAAAATTAAGAGTTACAGTTTTTGTTTCATTCAGTAAGAGATCATTCGCCGAGAACCATGTTTTGGCTTGATTCATAATTGCCTCAAGGGCAATTTCGGGATCCTCCCGTCTATCAATACTAGCACTGATTGTAGTATCGTCAGCAAAGAGAACTGTTGCTGTATTATGGTAGGTTACAGAAGACGTCATATCGTTGATATAAATTAGGAAGAGTAATGGTCCCAAAACTGATCCTTGAGGCACACCCCTCATTATTTCAAGGGGATTACTTCTTACATTATTACATTCAACAGTCTGAGTTCTGTTGCATAAGTAAGAGGAGAATAGGTCAAGCGTGTTTCCCCGAACACCATAATAATTGAGTTTACTCAATAAAGTTGAGTGATCAACACAATCAAATGCTGCTGATAAGTCAGTGAATAATCCTATACAATGTTGATTGTTTTCAAAGCAATTTTCAATAAATTTGGTTAAAGAAAGAATAGCATCAGAAGTTGAAACACCTTTTCTGAATCCAAACTGTTGAGGTATTATTGTATTATATATAATCTTGCACGACAAATTGTTGCAGATAGTCCCTAAACAAGCTCAAGTCAAAACTTGGCTCGGCTCGATTTCAAAATGCCTCGACTCTGCTTGACATTTGAATCCGCGGCTCGGCTCAAAATCGAGTCGATCGTTTAGCCATATCAAGCCGTCTACCTTCAAGGGAACCAAAATTGGGGCTGAACCTTGTTATGGCACTGTCGTCATTCTTAACGTTAAAAACATAAACTCAATATTAACTGAGTCTCTTTGTTGAATGTAAAACAACACTTTCATTATACGATTTCTTACGAGAGACAAAGAACGTTGTATACTTTAGTGTTACCTGTTATTCTATGGCTGTTGCTTGTGGATATCTGTTTATTTTGAGATTCTTGATATAATTTGATTCAGAAACATCTAGATCCACGCGGTTTTCTTCTGAGCATGTGTGAACCTTTGAAATTGTGATATTTACAAAAAAGGAAATCTTTTATAAGATAAATTTCATTTTTAGATACTGCTTTGACTATTCTGTATGATATTTTGGTAAATTTTCGTTATGTGGACATCCGGCGATTTTGAAAAAATTTTTGACTGTACTTACGTATTTTGATGCGTAGATTATGAATCCGAAAGAAAAAAGCGGCGCTCTCCCTTATTTAAAAAGTTACGGCCCTTCAAAGTTCAGAAAAGGGCAACTTTTCAGCCTTCTTTTTCACTAAATAAACTATTTAAAAACACAAGCATTTATTCACTAGGTCACCTTTACACCTTATTCCTCCTTCTTTAACACTTTTCACTTCAATAATCAACATTTTTCTTATAAAAAACTTCATTAAAAAACGAATGCTTCTCCTGGTGACATTATTCTATTTTTAGGTTAGTTACTAGTGACATTTCAGAAAAAAGCGGTTGGTATTTGCCGTCGCCTACTATTTCAAATTCGTAATACACCACCAAAAACCAATTTACGATCTAAAGAATGAAGGTAAAAAACATTTGAATTACTTCAGGAATATGGACTGCATCAGTCGTACCAACCATATCATTAACCTTAAAAACGTAAAATACAGTGATGTGTAACCAAAAAGCAGCTCCGTACATTTTTTAACATTTTTATAAGAAAAATGTTGATTATTGAAGTGAAAAGTGTTAAAGAAGGAAGAATAAGGTGTAAAGGTGACCTAGTAAATAGATGCTTGTGTTTTTAAATAGTTTATTTAGTGAAAAAGAAGGCTGAAAAGTTGCCCTTTTCTGAACTTTGAAGGGCCGTAACTTTTTAAATAAGGGAGAGCGCCGCTTTTTTCTTTCGGATTCGTAATCTACGCATCAAAATACGTAAGTACAGTCAAAAATTTTTTCAAAATCGCCGGGTGTCCACATAACGAAAATTTACCAAAATCAACACTTAGGAAGTTGAAAAGGGAGCTGGACATTCCAATTATACCTAGTTAGATATCTGAGAACACCTATACCTGTTTCTTTTATAAATGTATCTGTACGAGGTGAAAATGACCCTCTCATGCTTTAAAAGAGCTCGAAATGGCTTGAAAAGGTGATGGAAAGGTTGCTATTTTACGAACGCGCCTTTTTTCCCCGCGGCTGGGGCGTCAGTTAGAACATTTGAAAAATTTTCCTTAGTGTGAATCTAAGTCCTAAGAAGCACCTATATACCTTAGGACTTACCAGTAGGAAGAAACAGAGATGAATTAGTGAGTGACTTTCGCATTTATAGGTATAGACTAAATTAGCTTGAAAATACGTCAAGTGCTTCATCAGGACCAGAAGCTTTGTTGATGTTGTGCTGTTTAAATATTCGTCCAATAATACTCTGTGGAAACGTAATATCTGTCATTCAGCATGTAACTTTGATTTTTCTATCGCTGTCGTTGCTGTAGAACCATCCGATGTAATCAAAGCACCTCTTCCTCTTCTGAGAGAACGTCACAATCATCGGCACTATTATTTCTAACGTTCACCACATTGTTTGACGCTAATGCTTGCTCAACTATAATAATATAAGAATTTGAATAATTTCCATACCGACTCCATTCGGCAGTTTAATGAAAACAGAAAAATCGGAAGGGCAATATGTATAAGAGAGAGGTCAGAGCCGTACGAATTTCACGCGTTTCGTTTGCAAGCCGTAAAACTCGTGCATAAATTTCACGAAGAATCTCACAATAAAACTAATGAGAACGGTGATGTTTCATAAAAAATCCTCGCGCCTTCTGGTCCTTTTCGAGCTGCTCCTTTTCTAGTCCGGGCGGCAATGTTGCGGTTTGCAGGGCCAAGGAAAACAGGGAGCTGTGAATGGCGATTGAAATAGTAAGGTCATTAAAAATCGTTCAACGTTCAGGCGACCCAGACGTTGTGCCTAATTAGACTAATCAGATTTCTGCTGATCGGTGTTTAAAGAAGATCGATTGGATTTCGTAGAAATGGGCGAGTGGCCTGTTTAAAGGATGTGTCAAGAATCGTGTACACGCAACCTCAGGATTTTGAAATTACATACATGTAATCGTCTTATAGCAAGTAACATATAATATAATCCAACTAATTGATATTTCGTCTCGAAGGGGTGTTGTCCAAATTTTTTGAAAACTAATCTAGTTTTCCCTTTGTATAAATTTCAATCATTTCGACATTGGTTAAAATATTAGAAACACTAGTTGAACTAAGATTAATGGAATTTCTGAGCAAACATAAAACTTTAAATTTCTATCACTTCGGTTTTCAAGAGTGGATAATTTGCTGACAAGGAAAAGACTAGGTACTCAAATTTGACGACGTTAATGTTCCGAATAAAATGTACATATTCAAAAATTTATAGATATGAATTTTACTTAATACCGATGCCACCGATACATAAAAATGTTGTTTCCTGATTTCGGCAAACAAGTGTTGCCCATCTTTACACTTGGCTGCACCGCGCTGATGAGGCCAATAGCCATAAACACGTGTCCGCAGTTTGCCCCCCTTTTTTTTTGAGTATTGTGTCCACGAATTATTCCATTCTTGATTTGTATCATACACACTCGATAAAATCTCTATCTGTATTTATATCCTGGACCCGGATGTCTCGCAGGTAGCTATAGCTGCCTCCGTGGTCATGTTAGATGTAGCCTGGGAATTCTAGGTCTTCTAACTGGAACCACAAATGTGCGGTTGGCTCCTGTTGTTGACTCCGTGCGTTTGTGTTGTTTCCTGATTTCGGCAAACAAGTGTTGCCCATCTTTACACTTGGCTGCACCGCGCTGATGAGGTCGATAGCCAGAAACACGTGTCCGCGGTTTGCTCCCCTTTTTTTGAGTGTTGTGTCCACGAATTATTCCATTTTTGATATACCTATATACAGCAAAATAGATTAACGGGGTCTCTCAGTCAAAAAATCAAAAATCAAAACTG